AGCATTAAAATTCTTAATATAAGATTATATAGCATTTTTAATAATAAGAATTATTAAAGTAATTATTATTTTAAATATTAAATTATTGCAATCTTTATAATAAATAACTTAATAGGAATTTTAATTTTAAGTATTTTTTATATATATTAAATTAAAAAGATTTAGCTATTAAAGGATTAAATTATTATGCTAACTTAAGTTTAAAACTTTTTATATTAAATTATTAATAAATATATATAAGGCTTATATATAAAAAGATTTATTAAGAAATATGCATTATTATTTAAGTAATTTAAGTAAAAGATAATTATTAAAGAAATTAAAAAAAATAATAGAAAATAAGAAAAAAAGCTAATAAATAATTAGGCTGCTTATAATACTTAGTTTTAAAAAGATAAAAAGTAATTAAAGGAAATTAATTTAAAGTAATATTAAGTATATTTTAATAATAAAAATAAAAATAAAGATAATAATATTTATATTATTAAGGTATATAATAAAAAATAAATATAAGCTAAAAAGTTTAGCATTAACTTTATAAATATTAACTTTTCTTATAAAGAAGAAATTTAAAATTAAGGCCTTTATATAAAAGTTAATAATCTTTATAAAAAAGCAATTTTAAAAGTTAAGTATTAAGAATAATAAGTATAATATTTAAGGAATAATATAATAATAAAGGTTATAAGTTTAAAAAATAATATAATAATAAAGATTATTAAAACTTACTTTAAAACTTATAAATTATAATTTTAAGCCTTTTTAATAATGCTTTTTTTATAATAAAGGTTATATATATATAATATATAATAAATTATAATTTTAAATTAATTATAATAAGGATTATATATATTTATTAAAAAAAGAGAAAAATTATAAATATTAATAAGTATAACCCTTATACTTAAAAGGCTATTTTAATTATCCCCTTAGGGGCATATAGCCTTTTAAAACTTAGATAGAACAATACTAATACATGATTACTTCCCATATGATTATCATACGTATGAGAGACCTACTAATAGTGTAGATGCCGTGGCAGCCAGACAGCTCCGGTCTTGAGACGATACGATGGTGTCGACAATGGCGGTGCCGAGGCCGCCATTTGCACCCGTCAGGAGAATCGTGCCATCTACGGCTGTCATTTTGTGTTTGAATGAAGTGTACAGGTCCGAATTGCATTGAAAGTATGCAGGATAATGCCGAAGCAGGCCAAGGTCCCAACTTGAGGTCACCCAGGTGCCCCGGAGCTCGTAACTCGGCGCTAGGAGTCTGTTCCTCGTCGTCAAGTCATCCTTTGCCACACTGGCTTCGGTTGGCGACATCCCACGGATCCTGCACGAAAATCGCGTCCAATAATTACCTGCATCAGAAAGCAGTGGAACCGTCCGTGTTGCCATGTCCCCCCGGGACCAACGTTCGCGGGCCAACCGGTATGGAATGAAAATGGGGCTAGACAACCAACAGCTAAATTTCAAAGTAGCACCAGGATATTGACGCTGAAACAGCAGAGTTAGAAGGCCCTTGTCAAGGCCCACAAGTTGGTGGTGTTGATACCTAACACGCGGTCAGTCAGCAACACTGAGCCCCAGAGGGTCGAGCTTGGCGAAGACAGCGTCCCATGTTGCGGCCGGACCGACAGACACGACCGAGTCTTGGACGTTTACATTGATCGAGTTGAGGCTCGCCAGGTCGACCGTCACTCCGCCCGGGGAATTAGATAACACCGAGACACCACAAATGACCCCCGGAACGAATTGCGAAACTGCATTGGGTGGCATCAGCTGCTAGCGACCGATCGAGGGTCGATACATCGCCGGCCGTATGTGGCGTGAAAAAACACAGTGGCTGGACCGAGGACGCCTGTAAGGCGACATAAGACGACTGGCGCGCGTTGTAGGCGGGACTCCCGGGGGGAGACACCTTTTCCGGGCCCAGAAGCGCAATTATCTCTTTGCACTAGAAGTGAAGTTGCACCAGCTCGATGTGTTCCAGTACGTGTCGCGCAAAAATGCAACACGTCGGCCTAATACGTACGCGACGTAGACTATCACTGTCTGCCATTGTTCTTTTGTTTGCGAGGACTTGAATGCTCTCGCATTTACAAATGAAAAATCCAACAAAGCTCACACGATATTGTTGGTGTCGTCAGAATTGTGACAAGTGGTGATCGAATTGCAGAGAGGGAACAAGCTGATGTGCTATGGGCCGGTCCACCGGTGGTCGTTGGTTGCAACATCCTTTAAATAGGGCCCTTCATTACTCCTATTCGGAAAAGAAGGCACAGCGATAGCAAAGGCGTCATTGGACGGCGAATATCGGATCGTCTCGATCAACGTCCCAGCACTAGAGGAGTCAGCCTCGAATGGTTGTCTCTTGTGCGCCACACTCTACACTGGTATCATGACAGACCGGAGCTGCCACGAGCTCAAGGACATAGCGCAAGTGAGAGTTGCTCACAATGGCCATGTTGGTCTGGTAACTCGCGATTGGATGGCCTGGATGACAGATCTGAGCTTCTATACTACCACCAAGAATTCAGGTAAGAAATATCTACGCGTCCTCTTCCGCACAGCCTCACAACTTGAATTATATTTATAACACTGCAGATGAACCACGCCGGTGCCTGGCGTTTCCCGTCTTGACCGCTGCCCGTTCAGTCAGTACAGAGTCCGGCATAACTTTTCATCAAATTCAGAAATGGATGCAAAGGTGCAGGTCTCATACACACTACACTGTCCAAGGGAAGGCGATCCAGTCCTGCCGACCAGAGTTCTCGACACAGGAGATTCTCCAGTTAAGATTCACTCAACAATCCAGTGCAACTTTGTTACGTATTTTTGAACTGACATGAAACAATAGGAGCAAGACCTTAGGCTTGTCGACACGCACGGAAAATCTGGACAATATGTCACACTTAGCCATTGCTGGGGAACTTCTCCCTTGATTCGTACAACCTTAGCGACGATCGAACAACGGAAGAAAGCAATCCCGCTCTCGCAAGTTCCCAAGACGTTTCAAGAAGCAACCTCGATACTCCGTCGCCTAGGATTTAGATACCTCTGGATTGATCCTCTTTGTATCATCCAAGATGACGAGGCTGACCGGCAGCGTGAATCAGCTCAAATGGCCGGTATCTATGCGAAAGCCGCATTGACTGTTGCTGCCAGTGCATCTCAGGACTCCAGGGGTGGCTGCTTCAGAACTACACCAAAGCTCTCCGGCTCCAACTCTTGGGAGATCGCCGTGGAATATAGAACACCGAATGACAGCCCCGCTGAACATCTGCCTCAAAAGGATTCAAATGACGCTGGTCGGAAATCGGAAGGCGTTCGCTGGTTTGATGATGACGAAATGGCAGATGTCTGGGAACACTGGGAATCAGGAGGACAGGCACGCTCCGTCTTCGGTTCCTCGGCGAGCAGTTCTCGTTCATGCGATACTTGCCAGGCCATGCCCCGCCGGACTCGCACCCCAGCAAATGCTCCCGCGAAAACCCCAATACCATGAAGACCAGCGAGATCAACAAAAACAGAAACATGGGCAAAATTCAGCCAGCCCAGGCGCAGAAACCTCCAAATTTCCTTGGGAGGCTTGAAACATTGGAACACTCGACCGGTGTGTACGTGCGGGAGTTGCTCAGTCATTACGAGTTCACATCCAACGGGATTCCCGTGCAGTCAGTCGAGTACCCTCTCAGCGGTAGGGCATGGGTCCTTCAAGAGAGACTGATGTCTACGCGGATCTTGCATTTCACTGCCTCGGAGCTCGTCTGGGAATGCAGCTCTGAATCCTGTTGTCAGTGTGGGCTGGTGGGATGCGATGCATCAACGTGGGAGACGGGGTCGGATCCAACACGACCATCTGCCAGGTCGCTGAAACTGGCCCTTGAGCAAGCCATCCGATAGGCGACCAGTGGAAAGCCGGAGCAAATCAAAAACATGTGGGAGAGGCTCGTTGAAATACATACATCCAAGTCGATGAGCAAGAAGTCAGATCGTCTTCCAGCGGTATCAGGCCTTATAAAGCGACTGCAGCAGGCCAATGCAGGAGAGTGTTTCGCGGGGATGTGGAGGAAATGTCTCCCACAGCACGTGACGTGGCACCTGGCACCAAGGGAGCAAAGTGTACACACCCGGCACGAGACGTATGTGGCTCCGACATGGTCTTGGGCGTCAGTCAATGCGCATGTGTACTTCCATCAGAGTCTCGTCAGCAATTCAGCAAGAGGAAGGCTGACTCTGCCCGAGCCTGATATGGTCGCCGAGGTTCTCAACGTACAATATGCGCTGGCCGGACTCGATCCCACGGGCGCGCTCTCGAATGGAGTGCTTGCCATTCGCGCGCCCGCCCTGACAGCGGAGCTGCTGAGTAGGCGGCGCGGGAAGACGGAGTCGCCTGCTCGTACTGGGCGGAGAAAATTCGTTTTCGAAATCCGCCATTCGCATCTTGGAGAAACAGTTGAATTCAAACCAGATTCAGTGTCAGATATCCACACCTCGGTCGGAAAGCAAGATGTCCTGTGCGTACAATGGACAAAGGAGGCGGATCCGCAACCAGTAGTGGCACAGCTCAGAGCACTTGGGTTGTGTAAGAGATCCTTTGACCTGACATCGCTTTTCCTAGTTCTTCGGCAATGCTGCAAAAGACTGGACAGGTATGAGAGGATCGGGCTGGTCAGTTTCTATACAAGCTATGTGTGGCCTGATTATCAACCTTCAGACCAGCAATTCAGGATCGACAAATGGTTTCAAAGGGCCTGTGTCCGAACACTAGACTTGGTATAGGTATTTTAAACAGACTACAAAGATGAAAATGATGGAACCATTCTGTGCTAAGGGGAATTTAGACGGACCGGATGCGTAATGGGGAGTGCTTAGAATCTGCTTTCTCCTCTCATAATTAGTCTCAGCAATGGTCAATCTTTACTGGGATTGGTTTGATATGCACTCTCTGACCTGTTCCAGTTCTATTTTTGGCTTCGCCCCTTTCAATCTGCACTATTTGCCAAAAGCAGTCTGGGACCAGATGACGTGGTCTTGATGCAGTGTGCCGCCATCCTCCCCTGCGGCGTGTCCCATGGATTGCGTGTCAAAATCTTCCGGCCCAAAGAAAGATTGTAGCTCGTCACTACATGGCTCACAGTATACCCCTATCTGGACCTGGTGTCGACAGAGGCCTGAGGTGGAGTTGTCTTGCTGGTAGCTGCCCTTCAGTTGAGACCCCTGAATTGAGACTCGTTCCTGGAGCGAGCGAATCTCAGAATCCTCGAACACCATGTCTTGTTGCTGGTGATATGAAGCTTTGTTTGATGAACCAAAGAGACTGTTTGACAAGGTGGCAGTTTGAGGAAAATCAGACGTGGCACCAGTCAGTTGCCAACTGGAAATTGGCGTGAGTGCGTGATTGTTGTCTCTGACATCATTCGAAGAGTTTTCTGTGCTTGAACTAGTGTCTGTCATGTCTGGCACGGAAGAAATGCCGGAACTCCTAATTCGAGGGGAAATGTTGTCTGACTGGTCAAAGTCGTTCAAGCGACTAGACCCTTCGGGCTGGGTCCCCCAAGATGGAAGGGAGAAGATGAGACCATGGCTCGAGGCAGCTCGCTGTCTTACAGCTTGCAGAAATCTCCAGTCTGTTTGCCTCCTTTGATCACAGTCAATGTGATCAGAAGCCTTGCGGATCTTCTGGAAAGTCTCGACAATGTACCGATATCCGTCCTCGTGCTTGTGGTGGGAGAGGCTTGAAAAGAATCGAGCAATGCTCTGCTCATTGTAACACTTTTCTTGCACCTCATCTAGCTCAACTGGCATTTCATAATCTGGAGCGCCTGTAGTGTCAGCAGCATACAGAGAAGTTTCAGGTAGTTCCGACTATCTGAGGAATCCAGTTGCCACTTACGAGGAACTGGAGCAGCCTCGTCTGCAGCAAACAGACGCCCCCACAGGGCATCCCACGTATCGACTTTCTCATCCTTGCTCCTTTTGGTCAAGGAGTCATACCTCTCTTCGCTAAGACCATCTTCTGGATCTTGTAACTCGCCCTTGCTGGTGCGTATCTTGCAGACAATTTCTTGGCGGAGATGTTCTTTGTAGTCTTTCGTTTGGAAACACCGTTCGCATCTCACACAGCTAGGACCTTGAGTATCTAGCATGTGAAATAACTTGATGTGACGTCTGAAACTGCACGTCAGTAATCACAATGAATCACGAGATGAGAAACCTTATGTTTCAGACCACTCACTTGAGCAAAGCCATACTTGCAAACGTGTTGAGAGCACATTCACGATGCTTTCGAACGTTGAATCTGATCGGGTTTCGTTTTCTGTATGGGCATGGAAATCTTTGGCAATCGTCTACCCTGGCTCTTTTCTTGTCTCCGGACCAATCTTCGGGGTTGTCGAAGTCTTCAGGGCCGTTTCCATTGGGGTGCTCATCATCATCGCCACCGCTCCTTAGACGGTCTCCATGACCCGCCCCTTGCTTTCTCTTTCTGTTAGCATTTGTGGCACCTGGAGTCTCTTGACCACCCATCTTGGGACCATGGTCGTTGCCGTCCACACAAGGCGACGTGAATGAGACAGGCAAACTTCTGGTGGTGTAGAATTCATCGTCATGGTTTCGAATATTTTCCAAGTACGCATGCGTGTACTTGACAATGGGCACGCAATCGTCCTCGAGATATCCCATCCATTCGGACTTGACGACCAGGTTGGCGATGCTCTCCACAAGTTGCTCGTACTGGACCTCAACGTCTTCTTCGGTCGAATTGTAGTCGTCTGTTTCGGAGGCCAAATAATCACTCGAGTAAGTCCGATGTGGGGGCGAGGTCTTTGTAGTAGGGGTCTCGGCATCCGCATCTGACAAGATGTGATCATGGCTCTGTTGATCCCAATACTCCCTTTGAGATCCATACAAATCCCCCCATGATCTCCCAGCAGCAGGATCCTCACCATCATGTACCCCAACACAGGAATATGCGCCAACTCGAGTGCCAGATAGGTTTAGCCTGGATGAATAGTCTTCGGGCCATTGGCTCACTTGGGCTTCCAACGGCTCGCAACCTGTGATATGGCAGCAAGAGCATATTCCTTGACAGAAGCACGGCGTGGTTGGCGTTTGATTCGACAGGATGGCTGGTCTGAGCGAGTCGATTGAGGGACCTGATTGGTTTGGTGAGAAGCTGCGTAGCTTGAAGTCTGGTATAGCATGCATACCCAAGTTGGTCTTACAGAATTGATGGTTCTGCCATCTGAACAGACTCATACGTCTGGCTGGTAAAACAGCAGCTCTTCCCAGAGTTGAGAAGTCTTGTTCAGGCTTCCCAGGTAAGTTCGTATCGATGTCGGACTCGGTGAATGAGGCTATAGCAGAGTCGTGGGACTTCCCAGAATAATTAGAGTTCACCTGATTTTCGCATGCCAGAATTTGTCTAGGCGGAGTAGTTGACACCAAGCTCTCGACTACTGGTGCTTGCAAACGCAGGTTTTGGATGCGTTCGAGAAATTCCTGTGTTCTGGCTTCCCGACTGAACGAGGATGTATGCCCGTTGAAGTCCCGACATCGTTGTAGAATGGAAGCGATGAAAGCCACCGATTCATTTAATGCACGCTTAGATAGCTGGCCAGGTGAAAGTTGAGGGCGGCTGAGAGCTATCTGCTGGAAGACTTGGCACAAAATGTCAATACTGTCCAATCCATAGAATCGCGCCTCGACTTCGTCAAGCTCTACGGGCGGATCAAATTCTATTCAAAATATATTGTTAGTAAGGGTAAATTCACATTCCAGGCTTTCCCTGATCACACTTGGAAATATCCAATGCAGTTGGCGGTTCTGTCTGCTTCGAAGACGACCGGCGGGCCCTCACCTGAACAAGGAATGTCTTGATCCAAGTCGGGGAAGATGACCAACCACATGTCATTCCATGTTCGGATCTTCCTATCAAAGAGATTCTGTAACTCTGTATGGCTGATGCCATCCTCAGGGTCTCTGTTCCCTGTGTGTCCCGGCTCACACAGCAGCGGCTGGTCCGTATGGTGATTCAGGCCTTCGATGGTTCCGAACCAGGTCCCACATTGACGACAGACTTCACCTGATTTTGAATGGAAAATATTGATATGGCGTCTGATTAGGGGTCAGCATAGGCTCGAAACAAGATGCCAACAGCCATGTGATGACCTACTTGAGGTGAGTCATGCTTGGGAAGCCCGAAAGGGCGCAGGAGGAATGTGAGCGTATGTTGAATCTCATCGGGTTCCGCTTTCTGAAAGGGCAACTAAGTGTACCTTCATTGGCTTTGACTTTCTCGGACACTTGATGTCCGTCCATTCTCATCGGAGGACGTGAGTCGGCATCGTCACTGTCATCTTCGTCGGAATCGTTCTGTTCAGAACGCAGTTCCCGCTTGCTTTCATGACCAACAAGACTATCAGGATTCGACGTGGCTGTAGTCGATGCAGTGGGGGCATCTTCGCCTGAACCATGCGTTTGATAGATCACTGGGGTTGTGCTCAAGGTGTTCGAGTCACCTATGTCACGGGCAATATTCTCCAGAAAGACGTTCGCATAATGCGTAATCGGTGCATTGAGATTTCGAAGGTCGTTCTCGGTGAAGTGGTTTGACACCACATTACAAATGGCCTCGAGCAATAAATCATAGGAGTCGTCTCGAACACTTCGGCTTTGTTCACTATCCTCGTCTGCGAACCTAGAGAACTCGTGCACAGAGCTTCTGGAGGAAAATGTACTAGAATCCCTGTCAAGCGATCAGATATCTTGCGGCTTAATTGCCTTGTGACTGCTTACTTGCTGCCAGACTCGCTTGTAGAATGAGACAAGCAATCTTCCGAGCTATGAGATAACGCCAAGGAGAAAGTTGGTGGCCTATAAGCACCAGTTGACATCAGCACGCTGTATATGACTTAGAACTGGCTGATTGCTCACATACATGCTGCTCTTTTGGACTCCAGTGCGCATGTTAGGCCACGTATTTACCCGGCGAGATGTATCGAGTACACGACATGTATTCAAGTCCCAGGATCCGCAGTGAAGAGGTTCGGCGGCGTGCGCGGATGAGCTTGGACTGGGAGGACATGAGTCGGTCGTGTTGCCAATGGAGAATATGGAGTCCGTCATGAGAGATCTCATAGATGAAGTCGAATCGAATCGGGGAAGCTCGGGAGACTGGATTTGGTCTCGTCGTACATCGATCGTGTCTGCTTTGGACTGCGGCTGCGATCCGATTTTGCCCTCTCCGACCACCTTAGCGGATGTATGAGACGTTTCCCATTCTGCATAGGCACAAGGTTTGTTGATACGAGGCTTAGATATTCCATGTAGCCGTAAACCTGCCAATCTCTCTTCGAAGCCGATAGCAGCGGAGGCCATTATTTGCTCGGGCGCTTCTTGGTCGAGTCTGGGAAGGCGAGATGTTGCAAAAGTAGTGCCGGAAGCCATGGCTGCGATTCTGGAATCTATGCCAGAATCTTTGCACAAGTTTTGGCGACCAGCCAGGGAATGGCAGCGATGAAAGAGAATAGCTCGAGACCCAAACGTCGTACTTCAACAATCGAGACAGCTTGCAATATGAATTCTTGTGGAGGATGGACACACAAAAAGATCCAATCACCGATTCAACGGAGCATTGCCGATTTTATGGAAGCACGCAGATGCGTCTTCACCGACAAAGCCAGTGATAAGCCAGTGATGCTCGGAAGTCGACGAGCTGCATCCTGCACGCCAACCTTCAACATCCTCTTCCGACGACCCCAATTATGCAGCACCGGTTTCATCACAGTGAGGCTGCTCGGGTCTCATTGGCGCAGAGCTCGTCAGTTGGCTGCAGCAAGACCCTATCACAGCCTCGGATCATCAGCCGGACTAGGGGTTTTATCCAGGACTATTCGTTGAGAAAGTGCATTTGTGCCATTCCATACATATCTGAATGAAACGATGCGGACTGAGACGTCCCAGTTCGATGCCAACCGTCTGGGCAGCAAACCGCCCACAGATAATATGTCCACCCAAATTCATGACAGTACAGTTGCAGACAGACGTGTAGGGATTGGAAACGAGTTGCCAACAGTTCATTCAATGTTGAATGAAGTCAGCGGTTTCCCCGCAAAAGCCTGATACCACCCACTGTCATGGCCAAAGGCTCACACGAGCAGTTGTGTATGTGACTTCCAATATCCTCATGAATACTGAGGTGTGAGAATGTACGAGAGATCAATTACGCACTCATTGCAACTCTCATCAAAAGACAGCTCGCAGCGAGTTGCTACTGATGGCTAGGCAAGGCATTCCATATGACAAGTTCTGGCTCCCTTGAGCCAGAGGCTGAGACGAGGAATTCGAGTGATGTCTCATTCCATTGCTTGCGATGAAGCTGCGATTGAGGTGTTCGCAAAATTCTGACCTAGATAAACGCTCCGGCATGTACGAGGTTAGACTTTCTCAACGCTCACGTGCCATTCTCCAGATGCCACTTGTGGAGCGCCTTGGCCAGGGTTTGACCCTGAATCTGCTCTCGGCATTAGAGGAACATAGACTTTGACTTAGCCATTCAGAAGGACCTGGAAGGACGCAGACCAACGCCGTCCACGTGATCGGAGACTTGCTGCCCATGGAACGCCTTCTTCGTTACGACATTCCGAGTGGCTTGGTCGCTTACGCAGCGCAGTGCAGGCAAAACGACCACGCAAATCAGCTGAGGCGGCAGCCGGCGTATGTGATTACGGAGCCCTCGAACTTACGTGAGGGCGACCCGCAATGCGTCAATCAGCTCTCGTAAGACACGAGGAGCCAACCAGCCAACCAGGCCGCCCATCCAGCCCTCGCAGTCAATGTCTCCCCCGTATCTGCCATCGCAGCGTATTGAGCGCCTTCAATCAATGCCACTCCATTCCGTTCCGTAATTCCCGGGGAGCCAGAGTACGCCCACCCAGCTTCCACAGTACGCCCACCCAGCTTCCAGCGTTGGCCCACCCAGTATAAGGAAATTAGCTGCACGCGCTATAAAATATTAATATTATAAAGTTATTAATAAAGCATAGCTATAGTTATCTTAAAAAGGTTTTATAATTATCTCTTTATTTATAACTTAAAAGTTACTTTTACTTTTTACCCTTTATACCTTTTATACCCTTTGCGCCCTTTATGCCCTCTGCACCCTTTAGCACCCTTTAACGCCCTCTGGCGCCCTCTGCGCCCTCTTGCGCCCTCTGCACGCTTCTAAGCCTTTTAAATTATTTACGCCCTTTAAGCTTTTTAAACTTATATTTTTTAAAATATAGCTTAAATTAAAAAATAATTACCTTAGCTTTTTATATATAGGGTAAACTTAAAAAAGTACCTAGTCTTATTAATATAATACTAAGAAAAGGAAGTACTGGGTGGGCGTACTGTGGAAGCTGGGTGGGCGCACTCTGGCTCATTCCCGGGGCTGGGGGAAAGGGGGAAGGGAAGGGGTGCCGTTGCATCGACTTGCGGCATTGTTGCAGCCCTCCATTGAGCCGCCTTTGCACCTTGCTCCGTGGCTGGTTGATCGGCCCCTTTTGGCTAGCGGCCGGCGGACCATCCCTTTCTTGCCCAGCCGTCCAGAACCCGTCAGAGCCGTCCACCTTCCGCGAAGGACCCTGAATAGGAGCGCGATGATACGAGGAGGTGGCAAACTGATGGGCGTTCGTCTGTGGTCATCTTAATGACTTATTACTCAAACAAACTTCCGTTGGAAATTTGGCCGTTTCAAGACCACCGTGCGACCAGGGGCTGCGGGAGAGCCAATTCCAGGGTTTCGCGTCTTTGAGTTCCCGGTGGCGGCAACGCGCGCTACCTCGACTGTTTAATAAGGGCTATTTTTGCTGAGGCCATCATCGTGCGGCAATGCGCCAACGTTGCGCGGCTGTTTGAATTTGACTTTTTGCCGATGGGGAACAAGCTTCGCGAACTCAAAACGTTGCAATGAGTCGAGATCTCTGGGAAAACCATGGGCGTGTCCGGGTAGATGGGATGGGGTGTTTAACGTTCGCGCGAGGTCATGCCCCAGACAAGAGCTTAGACGGACCCAGTGTGGCAGATGTTCTGCTTGTGCCTCGTGGGTAAATTGAGGGCGCGTTAGCAGTCAAGGCCCGTCTCTGCTTTGCTCGTTTCTGGTCGTTCTTCGAGACTTCCGACCTGAGTCGTCTTCGTCGTCGAGACATGTTTCAAATCTCTTGGAAACGAAAGGGGGCCCAGCTGTCAAGGGAGGTAGGAAGGGATGGTCCCAGAAGGCAAGTCTTCAGCACGGACGTTCAGTTCGGCGGGTTTGTGGTGGCCTCAGGCACAAACATGATGTTAGGGGACCCGCCCCCTTTTCATTCTCGAAGCCACAACGTCGCAAGCAAGCTGCGCAGAATGCCAGCGAAACCTTCTCGAAGGTCGAAACTCCCCGTGGCGAACCCCATCCGACCCATTCGACGGCTTCGCTTCCCGAGCTGGCAGAGGTCCACTCCTGGCTGTCGTGCAGCGCCGAGCCAGTTCGTTGCCAGTTCGTGCCTGGCTGGCCCAGGCTTGATGTGGAGGCGTGGAGCCATCGCGGAGTCGCGGGTCGAACGGCGAGCGGGGGTCGGGCTGCAGGTTCCGGGGCCCAGTGGCCATGACAGCGCACCACCGCCCGTTCGTCCAGGTTGTGGGCTTGGGCTGGCGGGGACGACTCGTCCGAGCCCGTCGACGGTGAGTCGGGGGTAGTTGACCGCTGACTCGGCCCAGCCGATGTCCACGTCGTGAGGGTCGTGGCCCCGGGTCCGTGGGGACGAGCTTCGCTGGCGACAGAAGGGCGGTGTTTGATGTCTTGTTCTGTCCCGTCCTGTCCTGTTCTGCGCTGGTCGTCAAGGGGCCATCTTGGATGTCGGTGTGCAATGGCGGCGATTGCTGGCAAGGACTGGACGGAGCATCGTCGCATGCACAGTGGGTGGTGTACCTGGTCAAAGAGAGGCGCCTGACGATCCGGTGTGCACCAACTAGATAGTCTGTCTAACTGAAAACATGACGGACGGCCGAGGAGCTTCGTCGTTCAGTAAAGGCATGATGGAGCTTCAATATATCCCGGAGCATCGACTGACGGCAGTGTCGGCGGTACAGTAGCTGAACCCGCAGACCAAGCACCGGCCAACCCGATATCAAACTTCCCGATCAATAATAAGGTGGGAGGATGCAAGGGGGAACCGCCAATCTCAGGGTCCTTTCCGCAATCCCGTATTGGATGTCGTGCTCGGGGCGGAAGGGAGGGCCTGGAAGGCGGTCGGTGGACGGTGGATGGCGGACGCGGACAAGCGTGACAGGTGCTCCCCAGGATCCCAGATCGCTGTCCCGGCTGAGCATTCCGACTTCCCACTTTGGGTGGTGGTTCCCAAACGGGCAGGGCTCCGTTTATTTTCGAAATTGGAAACGGCCAAGTCCTTGCGCGTGCTGTGTGTGTGACAGCTACTGTATTAACCTACCACGAGTTGCCATGCTTGCTAAATACGGAGCACGATGGGAGTCCGGCTCGGTTGAATCGAACTGCGATCAATAAGACGAAATGCCAGATCTTGGGTGGGATCGATCATAGTGACAGGCTTGAAATTAACCTTGGGGTTCGGCCAGCGTTGGTTGACTTAGTGGCCATTTCTGGCCAGTCCGTCAGCCCACCAGTGTCTGTGCCTCTGTGCCCGGGTCAGTGTTCAGTCTGTGTTCCTCGTCCCTCGTGTCGCGTCCGTGTGTGGTCTCTCGCACTCTATTGGCCCACCACTGTGAAATAGGCGCAGTATTGATTCATTGATCTCGTCTTCATCGTCTCCATCGCGCGTAGTGCTGCACTGCGATAGAGGCGGACTCGCATCGTTCTCTCGTACCGTATCTGGCGCATGTACTATGGTACGGTGACTGGCTATTCGAGTGTCCGTCGATTAACTGGGTCAGTTGCCCTGCTGCATCGTCCTTCCCTGCCTGTGATCCATAAATTGCTACTTCCCCTGCATTGGGGGGGGTGGCCAAACCCACGCCTTGCCTCTTTGATCCACTCCTCCCGATCCATCTTCCGCCCCTCAAGGTCCCTCCACCAACCATACGCCAGTGTCGCACCTCCCTGCACATCAGCCGAGTCTCACCCGGGGAAAGGGCATGACCCACTATTCCTCAGGATGAATGCCTCAGGCAGTTTCCCTCTTGGTGCCGGCGCGGGCCAAGCCCCAGGTCTCCCTTGGCCAGGGGCTTTGACTGAGGCCCAGCTTGGGATAAAAAAGGCCACGTTGCCCCAACCTGTCCAGAGGTAAGCACAGCTCAGCACATCACGCCTACCTCAGCCAAGGCAACAGCCAAAACGCCAGTCGTTCTTTCCTTCCTTGTTTCCCCATACATATTCTTATCTAGCATTGTTGCAATCTGTCATTTCGAACGAGTGAAGGAGAGAAGAAGCCACGTCTTCACCAACCCGCATCTTTCGCCATCCAATCCCCACAATTATGCTGAGACCTTAGTTGACTCTCCAGCACCTCTCTTTCCCCATCAAATCTGTGTAATTGTCCACCCGCAACTTCCTACCCGGAACGCAGCTACTTTCACCAACCACACTGTCGACTGTCTGGAGCATCAAACCCGCATCTCCACCATCAAAACCAACAGACGCAGAACATCGGACAATCCCAGTACCGCGAATTTTACGCAGGTTACCAGCCTCACACCAACGGCTTCAACCTGCCAGCCCAGAGCCTCCAGCTTGGGCAGTTCCTGTACCTTCAACCGCACACACAGATTCCCATCCACACAATGGAGTCCACACCAACACCGTCGCCCCTCGTCAAGCATGAGTCCATGCCTGAGTCTTACCCAAGCCTCTTCGCAAGCGAATCATCCACACCGGCGACGATGGACCCATCAGCACTGTTCTCGACCCCAGAGCCAGCGGACTGTTTCTCGCCTCGAGACCTCGAGACTCCCGGCCCTGAAGACGAAACCGCAGACTCATCCGACAAGAAGCCCACAAAAAAGAGAAAGTCGTGGGGTCAAGTGCTCCCAGAGCCTAAGACTAACCTGCCTCCAAGGTACGACCCACTCGCTGGACATCTGCGCTGCCAGGCCCCAGTACTAACGGCTTGCAGGAAGCGGGCAAAGACTGATGATGAGAAGGAGCAACGCCGAGTAGAGCGTGTGCTCCGAAATCGCCGAGCAGCCCAGTCCTCCCGGGAGCGAAAGCGACAGGAGACTGAGGCGCTGGCACAAAAGAACAAGGACCTCGAGGCTGCCGTACTGGAGCTTCAGAGGGCCAACGCCATGTTGCAGCAGGAGCTGAAGAAGGTCAGGCCCGACCTGGGTGGCGCGGCTGCACCAAGCAGCAACTCCATGACCCTGTCGCAGCCCCTGTTCCCCTCCCACGAAATCAACGGCCTTCTCCAGCCTTCCCAGGCCAGTATGGACCTGATCGAGGAGCTGGTCAACAAGTCCAACTCGACACCAAAGACCGTCAATCCAGCCTCCATCTCGCCCGCCCTCACCCCTGTCCCCGAGGAGCCCGAATTCGAGCCCGCCCAAGAAGAGCTGAACACAGCTGCTCCGCGCGCTGCCGAAGCCTCCCAGACTGACAACTCCACCCCGATGACACAATATCCAGCAGCGGTATTGTGTAATGACCTGCAGTGTCAACGGATGGTGGAGATGTCTCCCTCTGGGCAGGCTTCGACGCAGTCGCTGCATCCAGCGCTGCTCATGTTCCAGCAACTCCTGTTGCTGGCGTACAGCTCTTCGACAACGCTCCTCTCCCTGTGGGAGACGCGTCCGTTGGCGATGATCTCAATGTCTATGAGAGCCTCCTCGCCTCTTCCCCCAACGCGAGCGATCTTGACCTCGATCATTTCTCTGGTGACCAACAGCATTTCGATATCGCCTTTGACGTCAACCAACAGTTCGACGTCGACCAGTGGCTCGAGTCCAACCCATTCGACAACGGCGACGGCGCTTTCGACAATCAGCAGCAGCTCTCGCTCCAAGACCCTGCGGCTCCGAACCCTGCGCAAGATTCTAACCTGCAACCGACAGCTGGCGCGTCCTCTTCAGGATGCGACGCTCGAGGCATTGCGGTTGAGTCTCACTAGGGCACGCGGTTCCCAAAGGGTCACCGAGCACGAGTCTGCGGGCGAGTTGTCGCCTCTGCCATCGCCGGAGCGTCTCATCGCTCTCTTGTGGGCGATTCGGACCACGGTCAGGAGTATTGAGATCAAAGACCAGATAAAGCAGAGGAGGGAACAGCAGAAGGGACTCGCGGGACCCCGGAACAACAACGCGTCGACCCCTAGAACAACACTTGTGTTTTCTGTGTCTGACAAATTAGCCGGGAGTAAAAGGAAATGGGTTGGTGGAGGTGGCTCCATCAAGAACGAAGACGGCGTTCAGGGCAGGAGGTTCCGTGATCGGGCGGCCTAGCTTATGCTGAATGCGTTGATTTACATTGAAGCCAAAGATCTTCAACTAGGAATGAAATACATCCTACTCACATACATCTGTACTGAACTCTATGCTTGTGACTACCTCGTGACTACTTGACATGTGCAAGTCTCCCATCCACACCCGGTTACCTAAAGATTCAGTAGACTGGCTGTACGTGCTGTTGATGGTATGGACCCCCAATAAGACGGGTCTATCGGACAGGCCTCAGCAGTTCCTATTCCGCCATCAAAAAAGCATCAGCTTATGGACCCATTACCCGTCGGCTGGCCATATCTCACGTAACCCCTAGCGTGGCCATCCGCTGGACGGTGGCGCCATTCATCATCCATCTATCCTCTCACCGTTGAGTTCGTCAGATACCGGAAGCCCCCGGGCGCCTCAAGCGAGATCCTTTGGGCATGGCGTGAATAAGGTGGCCGATGTGATATTTTCTTTATTATCTATCAGGCTGTTCTGTGCAACATGGAGCTGTGCGGATGGATGTATGTCATCCAGCTGGGCCAGGCCGGGTCCAGGGCCTTATCTAGTCTCGCGTCTGTACCCCGTGGGATGGCTCCTCGGAATGTAGGTATTTGCATACAATTTTGGTTCATCATCAGTGGCGCGCGGATGTGAAATCAGGAAGAGATAGGCCATAGGAGAACATATTCCTGTCCCGTCATGTCGCTTCGTGACCTATCTATTGCCCTACATTATACAAGACAAAGAAGAAGAAGGTATAAATCCCATGCCGTTTTTGGCCTGCTTGTGTGCCTATTGTTCGTCCCCCGGGTATGAATCATCGCGGCCTCACTGATGCCACATTTCAACCACCACCAAGTCTCCGCATCCCGCGTCGCCATGTAGCGAGTGAGTGAGCATCCCCTGTGTGCGACCATTCCGAGACTGGACGCTCCCGTCCGCTCTCGTTGAATGGAGTAGCCACCCAGGTAATCTGAACGCCAGCCTGCTGCTGTGGAGCAGGTAGTTTCCTGGCGTCGGTGTCCGTATTTCCTTTCGATAGTAGGGCAAACCGAGGAGTCCTGGGCATCCATGAACATCACCCCACTCCTTGCGCCAACTCCAAGCCCTCTGGCGTCTATACTTAAATCCAGTCTGGCCAAACGGCGCACATATCAGTGACGACCTGCTATCAAGAATCACTCGTACTGAAGTAGTAATTCTCCCACAGGTATTCGTAGTCCTCCAGTATCGTGCCCACAAACCCAGGCACCCTGCGCCTCACACCCCCAACCACGCCCTTGACGACGTTCTCGTACGCCGCGCCCCGCATGAGCCACCACCACATGGCGCGGCCCCTCCGCGTCCACTCCTCCTTCTCGAGCGCCGTGCCGGTCCTCAGGTTCCCGCTGCCCCCGGCACCGCCGCCCTCGCGCGCCCGCGCCGCCAGCTGCCGCGCCGCGAGCTGCACGCTCAGGCCGACCAGCCACGGCGCCCAGCTGGTGCGGCGGCGGCCCGCGTCCGTCCGTGAGAGCGCGATGGCGTAGACGAGGGGCGCGAGGATGTGCAGCACCTCGGCCGTGTGGGCCGACCCGGCCAGGCTGTGCAGCAGCTTCGTCGCGGGCTTGATGTCGTCGGCCGTCAGGACGCGGCTCAGCAGGTACGTCGAGATGTCGCCCTTGGCTGGCAGCGAGGGCAGGGTTAGGCCTGTCCGGGGCATCGACCACTCCTTCTGGGGGCTGGGCGCGGCGGTCGGTGGTGTCGAGGCGTGGCCGTTTAGCTTGTGTAGTGTACCGTTGCCGTTCATCTTGCCGTTTCCGTTGCCGTTCAAGGCGGCGCCGTTGCCGTTTGTGCCGTCGTGCTTGACGAGTGCGTTGTCCCCAGTCGCAGACCCATTCGCGTGCCCATTCTCCCCAGCACGCTCGGACGACTCCTCGCCCATGAGCTCAGCCAGCGCCTTGCCGTCGTCGGCCTCATCCTCCTCCTCGCCCGGCTCGGGGACCTTCTCCCGCTCCGGCAGCACGGGCGTGACCAGCGGCCTGCTCCGCGTGATCCTGAGCAGGAGCAGCCGGCAGAAGGCCTTTGCGGCCTCGATGAGCACGACGACGCGCCACCGCACGGCCTCGCCCCGGCGCTTGGCCCACATCTCGAGCAGGAGCTCCGTGTACTGCACCATCTGCAGGACGATGGCGACGCGCCGGTACAGCGTGGACTTTGCGGCCCAGAAGCGGGTGTAGCGGGCGTGGAGGGACTTGCTCAGCGTGGTCGGGCCCTTTGTGGAGGCGGAGGGCGACAGGGACGAGCGGAAGAGGAGGAGGTCATGGTAGAGCGAGAGGAGCTGCACGGATGAGTGGATGGATTCGGTTGCGAGTTCGGCGTCGCGGAAACGGCCTGTGGAAGGGGTTGTGAGCACGAGACAAGCGGGCAAGATATCTAAGATGATGATGGTAGATCCGTACCTGGTATTATATACGTCAAGGAGCGCAGCGCAGACTCCAGCTGCGAGACCTGGCTGGCGTTCTTGGTGACGAAGTCATCGTACATGGCCAGCCATTTCGGCGGCAGCGCGAGGGTGTTGCGCAGATTGGCAAGGGGAGGCGACCACTTGGTCTTGGTATGTGCATCTGCCGGTGTCGACATGACGGGCAGATTTGAATCAAGTCATGAAGTTAGACGAGGAGTTTCGAAGTATCTTGAAGAGGGTAGCGTTTTTGACCAGTCAGTCCATCAATCAATCGCCCTCAAGGTCGAGGAGAGGGTGATTGAGGACGATGTCGTCAGATGGAACGCGAGATGGCGCCGGGCTGGGGCTGGGCCAGTTGACGTCGCCCGTGGTCGTGCCTCGGCTCCACGGTTGACGGCCTTTGCCGGCGCTGTTAACACCCCTTCACTCAGTTTGGCCATGGTCACGTTAGTGCCACTCACATGTCGGCTGCAAGCCTACCGTCCTGAGCACCATGTTGAACGACGTCTGTTGTGGCATTTACATTCTTCCATGTTTAATTACACGTACTTGGTTCTCCTCGCGGTGAATGCTCCCAAACGTATGTGTCTCACATAAATCCCCCCGGGTGAAAAAGACAAGAGTCGGCTCGAAACCTCCAGGACTGCCCGGGCCAAGTGATACTCGAAGGCAGCGACGGCGATGAACCCTAGTATCTAGTACTCAAATGCATGATGACGAGAATGCCGACAGCAGGATGGTATAGACACGCAAAGAAAAGTCACAGCCTCCATTAACCGTGCTAGCTACGTAGATGGTGAGCGGGACTGTACACCTTCATCAGCCTGTTAGCCATCCCCGGTGAACGCTGAAGCTATCACAACACTAGCATTTAATGATACCCGGTGGCCCGAATTCGGCCTTGAGGTACTTCACATTTAAATTGAATGCGTGTCCCAAGTGCCGAGAAACGACAGAGCCGCGGTAGCCTCACTCATGTCGCACGGAGCAGTGTACTACCCCTAGCCGCAACTTTTCCTCACACCTTGTCATACCGGTATCTGTACTGTGCGTTGTTGATCTTGTAAAGGCCTGATCCGATATCCCTGCTTGTCACTATGGCCTGAACGACATGAAAGGAAGCTGAGGGATTCTCCTGGTCCTCATTTTGCGCAGGCCACCAACGGGTATCCTCGTCACGATGTGGCGCTCGAGGTGACGGACATCGCAGAAGGCAAGTAGGCCGAGCAGCAAGCAAGATCCCCTCGCCGTGACAGAACATGGACACACAAGGATGAAATGTGCTCTTATTTCTGCAGAACGTGCGCAGCATGCCCCATGTTCACTAAATACCATCGAGCACAACTGAGTGCTGGCGCCCCCATGACCCGTTCCAACGAATAAAACGCTCCAAGCCGCCCTTCCCCTGCTGCTAAATACAAAACAATGTTTTTCGTAATGTCGTCAAAAAGGATCGCTTGGGTATTGTTGATATCATGTCCTTGTGGCCAGTGCCATCCATCTCTCACCCCCACGGTACCTCAACAGGTACACCTTCGTAGATACATCCAGCTCTTACAAGTCTCAACAATTAGCCCGCTCCGGGGAACTTCGTCGAATTTCAATGCTCGCATCTCCTTGATTATCGTTCGTATCGCAATAATTCCAAAAAGTTCCGTCTCGCCTCATGCTTATTCGATCTGTGAACTGCCGACTCCTCTGGCGGTCGGTCGCTGCACCAGTACTGCCAGGTCTCACACTGCGCACACCGCATGGGGCCCACAGGCACCAGAACCTAGCTTTTCCCGGCAATGAGGCTTTCATACGGTGGTTCGAGGCTTGAAATCATCATCCACATCCAGCTGCTCGTCGGAGATCAGAGGCTCCGATGGTCCGTCGTAAACAGCGGGCTGAGGCTTGAACTCGTCGCTCACATCAAGCTGCACATCGTCCATCAGGGGCTCACCAACGGCAGCTGAAGAAGCCTCGCTGACGGTTGGGGCCTTGCTTGAGATGGCCTGGTCGTCACGCACGTTGTCTTCGCTGATTCGTGCAGCCTCGGTGGAGGGCGGCGCTTGGGCAGCACCAAGCTCCTTGCTTGGCATCATCTCGTACGGAGTCTCGAAGGGCGTCTCAAAGGGCGTCTCAAAAGCCGTGGCGACCTCCTGGACGGGCGTAGCATCCTCATCCTCGGCCTCCTCCTCCTCCTCCACTGCCGGTTCAGAGGTGCCTGGCCCGACACCCGCCTCGTGGCTCTCGCCTGGCTCAGCGTGCTCAGCAGCGTGCTCAGCGACTGGCGCCTCGGGTTCAGCCTCGTTGGTGCTGGGTGCTTCCGTCGTGCTGGCCGCGAGCGATCCCCAACCGGGGCCGCCCTTCTCCACGAAGTGATTAATGATCGGCGACTCGAGGATGACAGCGCCAGAGTCGCGGGTGTTGTCGTGGGTGGGGAACTGGTCAATCAAAGCGCTCTGCTCAGGTGATTCCTCATCGTCGTGGCGTTGAATGGGGTACTGTTCCGACAGGACCGAGCTCCGGCGTCGCTCCTCCTCAGCCTCATCCCCGGCGGCGTCCGTGCCGTCCGCGGTATCAGCAGGCGTCTGTGCAGCTGTCGGCTCGTCTACCGTGCTAAGGGGCCCGCTTGTCTCGGCGGGTGTGGGTGCGGGTGTGGGTGCGGGTGCGCGGGTGGTAGGCGAGTCCGGGGCCACGGCCACAAACTCCGCGGGCCGCCCGTAGAGGCTGTTTGTGACGGGGAGCCTGACCTCTGTCGTCTCGATGACGCCCTTCTCGTCAATGTGGGCGTCGTCCTTGGCGAGGTCCGGGTTCAGTCGTGGGTTCATAGACCACGGCCGAGGATGACGGCGCAGAGGGCGAACTCCGCCCCGGAAGAAGGGACTCATTGCTGGTGTGGAGGTCGCAGTTGCAACGTGGGGTACGGGTCAAGCTTCTGGGCGCTGTGTGATTGATTGAATGATGACCTCGTGGTGTGAGGTGTGTGATGATGGCTGGGCCTGAGTTCGGGATCGAAGATGAGCCTCAACCAGCATCAGCTAAGGACCAACCCGGCCTAGGTATTGGATTTATTAGTGAGCGCCTGCATCCTGCTCGGGAACAGGATGCAGTTGCGGGGCATGGCTGGCACCTTCCGGTTCTCAGTTACCGGTTGAGGCAGTCGGGCCACACACCAACTGGGCGAGAAAAGCCCCTAATGCAGGTCGAGCAAGGTTTGTGGAGCATATGTACCATGTACGCGCGATCCCGCAACGTCCTAGTCAGCAATGCTTGTGCCCCATCCCTCGCTTGCCGGTCCTTCGGCAGGTAGAGGCGAGCACCTGGCGGGAAACCAGGGAAGTGAGCAAGAGATTGGATGATGGCTTGGGAGGGAACCCGAATTGCAACCTCGGAAGGGCGGAAGGGCACGCACAGAAACCGGCTAATCCGTCCATCTGCGACGCTTCATTTAATCCGTCCACTCCGTTCGATTCACCTTAGCTTGTTCACTCACCACCTCACTGCTTCGCTGCTACGGTTTTCTTCAGTTGTGATTGAAGCTATGATTGATTGTGTGATTGTGTCTGGCCGGTGTGAACGCTCTCGAATAGCGTGACCAGGCAGCTTCAGTGCTGCTTCCATTCCACAGACGGAAGGTTATTATGAGGCCAATGTCATCTCCCACTTCCGCTGTTTTTACATAGACAAAACGCCATTTCCCTCACATGCATCATCGCTCTCCAGGAGAATGGGTATCGTTTCAACAGTTGAGACCAAGCAAATCATGACACTCCTTCCCAAATGACCCTTTCATGGGCCTGAACGTCCAGGCTGAACTCAGAGCAGACACCTGGAACCACCCCTCCTCCCAAACTCATCAAACTAGTCATCGGTGACCCCACAGGGTCCAGCAGCGCCGACATCAGTGGAGTTGTCGGAATCCGTAGTAAAGTAGACGGTCGCACCATGTCCTGACGGACAAGTCGAGTCCTTGTCGTCGCCCGTATCCCAGCCGGTGATCATGGCGCAAGAGGTGCCGGAGAAGCCAGAACTCGGCATGTAAGCCCAGGAGTTGCAGCCATCAGAGACGGCCTTGTAGCAGTGCGCGCAGCAGTCCTTGGAGTCTTTGGCGGCGCCGTAGTACGTGGTCTTCCAGCCGCCGTTGCCAGGCGCGCCGTTGACTCCCATGAACGACACCGAGGTGAGGAAGTCGGACGAGTCAGCGCACTCGCTCGGGACCGAAGACTGTGATGAGACATATTGTTAGCTTTCTATCCCATCAAGAGGTATCTAAATATGTTCAAATGATTAACGGAAGCACCACCTGGCTGTATGGCCCTGATGATGCTCTGATGGACGGGGGTTGATGTTGCAGGGGTAGGGAATACAGAGAGAGAAGACGTCGTCGAGGACGACTGGGATGAAGACGAGGACACGGATCTAGTAACCGTATAACGCACTGAAGATGCGGTCGCGGAGGTAGAATAGCTCGTCGACACCGACGAAGTGCCGGTAGTCGGGGTGGGCGTGGTTGAGGTGCTACGGAATATCATCGTCAGTCACGAAGATATGAAAAATTGGGCAACAAAGTTCAAGCCAAAAAACGCAATTCAGGCTGAGCATGAAATGGGGATACTCACCTAGGGCTGGCTCCAGCCGAATGGTCCTTGTTGGCATTGCTAACCACCACTCCGACGACAGTACCGACCAAGACAATGACAGCAATGATCAGGGCGATAATGACCGGGGCTCTGTACTTGCGCCACAGGGTGGGCTTCTCGCCGGCGTACACGACGGCCGAGCCGCGGGGGTCGCCGATGTTATCAGGTTGCACGACAGCGCGCGTGGACGACGCCGTGTCGTCCATTTCGAGCTGGGCGATGTTGGAAACGGGCTCAGGCTCCGACACCACCGCCAGTTCCGGCAGAGGGTTTGCTATCGCCTCGGCGTACTGTGACTGGCGAAAGCGGCTCACCGGAGGACCGCCGTTCGGGCTAACACCACCGCCGGATGGGCTCGGCTGCTGGGTGCCGGCATTGCCGTTGGCAGCCTGACCTGGGGTGCCTTGATCGGACATGTTGTGGTGGGGGTGATTGGGAACGGATTGCAAAGAAGGTGAGGGAATGAAATGTATGCGAGGATGTTTGAGTGGTGTCAGGCGAGGTGGGTTGCAAACAGGGACAGCGGCCGTGACTGTCGTGATGGGGTGTGCGAGTGTTGCAGATCCGAAACGAGCGTTATGGTGGGACAGCAAAGACTGTGTGACGGCGTGTTGTTTGTGTAGTGAATGGGGACCCAGTGATTCTTGAGCCGGCCTGTGAAGCTTCAACCGCTGCTTCAGAGTGGCGGCGGCTGGTTTGTGTGCCCTAGATGGATCTGGTTTGTGAAAGGATCAGACTTTGACTGACTGTCAGGGGCTGGTGTGGCTGGTATGCATTATGTGCTATTTGTGCTGAGCAAACAATGAGCGTGTTTTCGGGTCTTGCATGTAGTATCAGATGGAAAAAATATCATTGTCGAGTCTGCTGTTGGTAATGGAGAGTCGACAAGGGCACTGAGCCATGTATTTACTATTGGATCCGCCCCGGTTGCAACCTCTTAAGCCTCTTCACCCAACGATATGCAGCTTCCCCTGGCCGCCAATTTGCTTATGCACACTAAAAAGGCTTGATAGCGAACTTGGTGGGAAGTCTTATCACCAGGATGAATACACTTGTTGAGCCGCATGCTGGTTCTCCTTAGTGAAGAGAGTGTGTGGTCTGCAATTTCTATAAGATGACTAGACAGTCGCGTAAGTTAATCAAACGAGAAGCTCTGGAACATGTAGATAGTTTAAGAAGAATAGCATGCACGTCTTTCAACGTGCTACGATTATGGAGCTATAAATGCATGGTCTTGTCAGCACACTTAGTTCTCTCCTCTCCGAGTCATTCTCCCCTTGCCGACTCAAGATAATGTCTAGTATCTTTTCGAATATGTTATGTTCCTCATGGCACGCCCTTCTAGACAAGATATCTTGTGTTTGTAATCAGCACTGACTGTTCACTAGGCACCGACACCCGCGGATGGTACAATGGCTTTCAAATCAAATGTAAACCTAAGTAATCTATCATGGCGACTCGAATACCAGTCAAATATCTGCAGTGTTGTTTAATACCAGGTTGTCCTTCTATCACAGTTCTGTCCTGATGGCGTGTTGACCGGATACAAACATTGAGCATGTGGCAGAACGGATATGCATATTACGGTATGTTAGGGAATGGCCTGGCATCTTCAACTTCATTCAGGCAGATCTTGGGAACATGGGGACAACCTCACTATAAACGAACAGAGAGTGAATTAAAGAGATATTTTTGACGTTTATAACAATGTGGAAGGGTCCTCAATTGGCGCAAGCCGTCCACGTGCAATAGAATCCTCATCCTCCATGACCAGAGAGCTTTTGCGTGCACCTCAACCCGTCACATTGGCACAGCCTACTTACCTAAAGTATTTACTCCTAACAACGGCACAGGTGTGCTAAACTTGACCATTCATTCGTAACGTTGATCAGTACATCAGGATGATGTGCCCGTGCTGCAACCTCTTCAGCTGGCCGGCTGCGGAGGGCACACCCTTCCACAATTGTGGCATTCAACTGGGCAGGTGACACCCTTTTCTTTCCCTCATAACGAAGCGGTACGACTCAGAGCGGACATAAACAGTCAGAATGATGAGTCTCCTTTCGGAAAACCCCTCGATCTCCCAGGCATCCCTCCCGCCAGTTGCGGCCACCACAGTACGAGTCCAAGGAGGTCGCCGAGGATACGCTTTTCCTGGCCCTTGCGATCTTAGTTACAATCACGGGCGAGAAAACCTTCCTCATCAAGACTCAACAAAGAGAGCTCTAAACTTGACGCTCGGGTTCATGGAAAACAGGCAGTTGTGACTTCTCATCCCCAGGTCAACTCAAACACTGGCCCCGCAACACTGGTACCTGCCTCGGTAATCACTCATGGGAAAGCACGGAAATCTGCCGCGCCAGTTCACAATGGCAGGCAAGTCTCAGCAGGAGCCAGGAGACACATATTCAGGAGCGACCGACTGGGCTGACCAAACCCGCAAAGGACGATCCGTGAATTCCGGCAGTGGAGACTGCCTGCCTTCTGTCATTCTTGAGCACTGAGTAAGTAACCATAATGAGCAAAATTTTAACATAACTGGCAAAGGTTTCGGCAAAGGCACATGAAGTTCAGTTTTTGGATGGTGACAGAGCTACACGTCTCCCCTTGTAACTGCAGGACTTACCGACTCACAGTCCACGCAGCAGGCATTGAGGTACAGACACAAATCGACATACAAAATCTTATTCTAAACACCAGATACCCCAGACTTCCTCCTCCAGTCCCTCAACGAGATATAGACAGCAGCCTGAGAAGGGAACTTTCTGCTGTTTGTCATGGGCTGCTTGCTACCAACACTTTTTCCATTGGAGTGAGGTTCTCAGCCTCCCATAGTTGACCCTGTTACACAGGAACTTCTGCGCGGGAATGTGCAAGACATCAAAGCAGAAGCAGGGGGAGTAAAAAGGCAATGGTGGTTATATGGGAAGCATTTGATGCAGGACAAGTACTCTCCACGTCAATGTATCTGGAGAGATACCAAAACAATGGGCAGTTTCAGCTCCCGCGATGTGGTCAGAAATAGCCAAAGAGAGCACCAAGAAGCATTTCAGAAATTCGTTCAAACAGCGTTCTTTAAACTCAGACAGCTCAATTCAAGCTTTTCATGATACCTTTTTACGGATTGGTGTGCGAGTACCCTCCTGAGGAGCAGAATTGGCCATCGACATGCGGTGACGATAGCCCGAAAACTTGGATACCGAATGAGTTGTGCTTGCATGTCACACATATGATGTTCCACTTGCGACCGTCTCACTCGTCGGTCTGAACTTTTTATGCTCGGATGCTTGTCACGCTTTTCTCATATCGGCTCAAGTCACGCATCGGAGACGACTCTTCTAAAGATCTTGGCAAGCTGGGCCCAAATGGATCGCGGTGTAGACGCTACTTGGGAGTGTGAAATTCCTGGACTACGGCCATTCGCATACCTGCATAAAGGTAGCTATCAAAGTTTTTTTGTGAATAGGACTACTCCCCCAAGGCTTGGAACTCATCTATGTTGAAGCGGGTGGGCGGGGAGACCGGACAGTCACTCATCACTCACACCTGGACAGGCTGAAGTAAGTGAATCACTCCAACGCTTCTGACCAGCGAGCAACGATGACATGCCGGCTGTCGTAGAAGGTCTACGTATGGCGGTTGAATGACAGTCACATAAGACTTCGAAAGCATGAATATCGAACTCCCATTCTCCTTGCAGCATCAATACATACCAGGCACAGACTGTCTTCATTCATTCTGGAAAACCTCAAGAAAACCCCTCTACTGCTCCCTAAGAGTTCATATCTTGGAATCAAGATGGCCGATCCTCACAGATCCAGTCCTTCCTACCAAAACACGGGGCCTGCGCAAGAGCTCTATGATCCACAAGACTACCATCCACAAGTCGGCAACTTGGCTCCGCAACAGCAAAGCACTCATTGCCCGGGTACGGATTCAACCTCTATGCCAAGGTATACTGGCGAGCCCAGACATGTAGTCTTACGAGGGCAACCTGCCACAGTTATTGCAAGCCACATTCGAGGCCCAGCAGCCCGTGCGCCTCAAGCCGCCCGAGACTTTTACGGATCAAATCACCCGTTAGCTCATTTTGCCGATATAGCTTCGCAACAGCCCCGAATCCCGACCGGGGACAGCACGCATCAAGAGTACCAACAAGAGTACCAACAAGATCAACCAGCTTGGCCAGCCGCACCGCCTGCAGGCAGTCAACCACACCAACAAATTCGAACAACTTGGCAAAGCGCACCGCTTCCCGAAATCCAATGGTGGCCATATGATCTTGACATCCCGGGATCTCATGTGCCTCCTGGGTCTTCGAGAGTGCCACCACCAGCAGAGCGAGAAGATTTCAGGCATATCAAGTGGACCGAGGGAATGAACGAATACGTTCTCCAACAAGGGGCGAAGGTGATTGCCGTTGATCAGTCATACAATCAAAGGTATACGTGGGATGATTTCGCGGAGGATTTTCCAAAAGAATTCCCTGGGATTAACCCTGCGCCCACCAATCTCAGAAACCGATTCTATCGTCTCCGGCAATAGGACCAAGAAAAGGAATAAAAAGCCCGAGAGGAGGAGAATTCTTGAGTTTCAATCATGGGAGACTCTGGAGAACCAAATTCCAGAGCACGAAGTCTCGATGTATTACATTCGCAAGTGGAGGAAAAGTGTGCTCCTTATCCCAAAAGCGTTTTCGGCCATTTAACTCATTTCTTTCTCATTTTTGGTCAAGTCAATGGAGTGGGTAGTTTTGGACAAGGATATTTGCGAACATTCGGATGTTGAGCTCGCGGGATATGCAGATGCGGTCAGTTCTGAGTTTCTAGGTTTCTTTGAGAATCCTTTTGGGGGAGGGGACGTGAGGAGGTTCTCAGTGACCACGGGTTTAGCGATCTTAATATCCATACATCATTCATCCCACATACATTGGGAATCCGTTGGATAACAAAAGCGAAACCATACCTCATCCAATTCTTCTTTTTTGCACAATATGCTCTGGAGTGAAGAGGAGTGAAATGCTTCACTCTTTGACGATCAAGGACCTTGTTGCTGGTTTGCGCAGCCATGTCAGCGCTGAAATGGACGAGGTGAAGTTTCTTCCTCAATAGGATTCAATTCTCATGGCTGACTAGATAATGGCGGCTAAATTCACTCTGTATTTGGCGACAGACATCACCACGCCGCCGCCAGCCAAAGACCAGCTTGAGCTTGGTATTAAGTCAACGTATTTGATCAGACCTCTACAAAACTAGACCGAGATGCGGACTTTCCTGCCCTTTCTCCGTCTGTATCCCGATCAGACATTGAATGCTCCCAACATGGCTGATAAATGCTCTTTTCATGCCCACAAGGCTTGCACTGCTGTAGATGACAGTGACGTAATGCGAGCTCGCCATGTCCACTACAGAGGTATTTCGGCTTTCAGTAGTGACTTCTCACGATTCTTATACTAATAAAGTCATCGCACAGCTCCTACAAGCTATCCTTCCACTGGGGAGGCAAAACTTGAGCCCAAAAAATCTCCTGCTCACATGGAGACCTCTCAGTCAAGCAACGCAGAGGCTCGGCCTTCCAAGTCACGATCGAACAACCCTCCTGAGAACAGCATTACAACGAGGGTGCCAAGCCCAAGCCGGGGCTCTCGGAAAGTCAGGAAAGCCTTCAAAGCTATGTGTTGTATGCTCGGTCCAAATCGCGCGACACAGGAACGCCTAGGCTCCACGGAGAGCGGCCATGGGCATACGGACACTCCGGAGTACGTCAGTCAGCCGAACCAAGACCAGACCAGACTCACAGGCCAACAGAGAAACGATCTCTCTACAAGCCCGCGAACCTATCCTGTGCGATCTGCTATGCGTGGTGCGCGGCCAAAGAAGGCGACAGACTCTTCTAGAAATGTCCGGTTTGTCGAGGAAGCCAGACAACCAAGTCAACCGAAGCATGAGATTCCAAACAGCCCAAGAACCTTTCCCCTGCGATCTGCTATGCGTGGATCGCGTCCAAAGCAGGCAACGGATTCTTATAGACGTGTCCACTTTGCTGGTGGATCTCCAGGACGGCTACGTAGAGGTGCTGATGCTTAGAGAGTGTCATGCTATCCAAAATCATCAAATTACGTACGTACCCTGCATATGTACGTATATTGCCCTTAGTGTCACCAAGCTAATATTTAGGCACTGAGAACAGTCAGGGATACAAAATCGAAGCCCGTTACCCCACCTCGAGCAGCGTGATGTTCAGATCTGGAAGCAAGGCTCGCAAGATGGCTGGTGGCGGTGGCGGTAGGATTCTGTTGTGAACACCAACCTGTTAGAGATGGATAGTGTCCAAAAAGACGCGCTCCCTCTGCGTCAATGCAATCGGACCATTTGACTAGTAGAGCAGAACGATACCATCGAAGCATCATCGCCGTGTAGCACAAGAAAGGGCAAATTGCACATCCTGACGCACTCCGAAGTTGTGATTGCCTTGCAAGGCCAGCGAATTCTGCCCGTTGTGTCGCTATCCTGCCTAGAGTGCTATTAGTCTCCATGGCCGTCGAGATTTCGAACATTGGTAATCCATCACTCCGCCGCCACAGCAAGAATTTCGACGTTCGCGGAGAGCTGCCTTTCTGTGTCGTGCTCAAAAGCAGAGCTGGAAGGATTGATAATTTGCTCAAAATGCGCAAGTATTGAGTGAGCTTACCCTAGGGGATGCAGACATGGTGGAGTAATCCTCTTCATTACCTGGTTCAACTAAGTCTAAATAGACAGCACGGAAGCTCGGCTTGAGGGAACCCTTGAAAACTCACTCACGCTTGTGGAGAGGCGCAACATAAGCTGCATATGTCTGAGCCAGTCTATATGACCGGTGTGCGACACCACAGATCATAGACTGCACGCTAACAGTCCACGCGAAAGGATTCGCGAGCCCGGGACGATGATTTGTTAGAATCCCGTGGAGCCGAGAGCACATACATAGGCACGACGTCCGCACACAGTCCTGATGTTTGTAGTGTCTTTGGCGAGGTAGATATGCCAACGTTTTGAGAAGGGAGCGACCACCGTGACAATGAAGCGCAATTTCGTCCGGTCCTTGCTGACCTTTGCTGCTGCTGCATCCGAAGAATGCTGCGCAACCGATGTCAACGATACACCGCCGGTGATACCCACGACTTCTGGGAGAATAAATGGAAAAGTGGACCCAGCCCTCCCAAATGTCCACCAATATCTCGGAATCCCTTACGCAGTGCCACCTGTAAATGAGCGGCGTTGGGCAGCACCAGAACCACTCAACCAACCCGACTCAGAGATCCAGGCTACGCGTTTGCCGCCGAGCTGTCTGCAGTATCTGGATACCCACCTACCAAGCCCTCTCTTTGAGAACGTGCTCGAGTTCAATCTCCAAGGGCTGAACACAACTGGGGCCATCAGTGAAGACTGTCTGACACTCAGTGTGTGGGCCCCTGCCAACACGACAGCATCACCTGAAGGTGTGCCGGTCCTCATGTTCATCTATGGCGGTGGCTTCGGCGTCGGCGGCCAGGATGTGCCATACCAGACACCCGCACAGTGGGTAGATAGGGCGCCAGACCACATCGTGGTATCATTCAACTACCGCCTGGGCATCTTTGGGTTTCCCAACGCGGGCGGCCTCCCTGACCAGAACCTCGCGTTGCTCGATACACGTGTGGTGGTGGAGTGGTGCCAGGAGAACATGGCCGCTTTCGGCGGCGACCCAAGTCGCATGGTCCTGTGGGGGCAGTCGGCAGGCTCGATGATGGCCGACTACTACGGCTTCGCGTATCCCGATGACCCCATCGTCACGGGCCTGATCCTGAACTCAGGGACGGCCTTCACCCCCTTCTTCACCGTCAACGACACAGCACGGTCCAACTTCACGTTTGTTGCCGACCATGTCGGTTGTACCGGTCTTGCAGATGACCCTGACCAGCTGCTGTCGTGCATGCGGGATGTTGACGGGACTGTCATTAATGACTTAATCGCGAACTATTCAGAGATAGATGGGTTCCCAGGACTAGCTTTCGTCCCAATTGAGGACGACGCTTTCATCTTTTCGAACTACACACAACGAGCCGTGGACGGGCTGCAAGCCAAGATAGTAAGAACCTTCCACCTTTATTCGCCACACGTTGACCATGCTGTCCCTTTTCTAAAAGCTGACACATCTGAAGCCCGCCATCGTGGGCACCAACGCTCTAGACGGCCTCATATTCGCCGACTTCAAAGCCGGCGACCCCAACGGCCCAAACGCAACGGCTGGCCTGGAGTGGGACCTTGTCCTATTCTCCTGCCCCGCGACAAGCACGGTCCGTTTCCGGCAGCAGACGGGGCTCACGACGTTCCGCTACGCGTACTACGGTAACTTCACGAACGTGTCCCCGGCGCCGTGGATGGGAGCCTATCACGGCGCCGAACTGCCCATTCTGATGGGTACGCACCCGAACTTTCGTGGCAATAGCACTCCGGAGGAGTATGCGACCAGCCAGGCGTTCCAGAATGCGTACGTGGCTTTTGCGAGGGATCCCGAGAGCGGTCTGGCGGCACAGAACTGGAAGCATTATGCGACACTGGGGAGTGAACAAGTTAGGGGATTTGGGAGGGATGGAATGGCGGCGGAGGATGTTAGTATTGCCTCAACTGAAGAACTATGTATATGAACACTGGCCGATTTATTCTTCGACGCGTAATTCCGGTTCTTGAAGCAATCAGTGGCTTTGTGAACAGCCATTATGCGTTGTATAAGCATATTAGTACAGGATTGTGGTATTCTATTTACGCATGTGTTTCATTCGAAGCTCACAAGACTCCTCGCCATGCTGATAGTTGCGCCGTACCACACAATTCTCAAAGCAAAACGAAACGCTGTCGAGGCCCGGTTCTAAATAGAGGTAAACCAACGCAAGTTGGAATATCGGACGGTTGTGGTACCATGACAGATAATCTTTCCCGTCCAAAGTCTCAAATACACATGTTGCCAACAGCCACTCCGATGTATAGTCGAAATCGTGAGAGACATTGGATTCAGTAATAAGCAGATATTCGCGTCTTTAAAGTAGGATGCTTCAGGTTTTGGTTAGAAATAGAACCACCAGAATCGTGCGCTAAAAGATATACTTCACTGCTGTCAGTTGAGCTCATCATGAGTGTACAAGGGTCTGCCGAATCTCTAGACTCACCGGAAAGAACAGGTATGGCACCTCCTTCTCGTACTGAGTCCAAGCAGCCCCGTACTTCCTGCGGCACCTCTCAATGTCCCTAGTAGCCCGGTGGATGATCATGATCATGAAGAAGACGAAGTAGAACCAAGGAAAGGGGCTTCTATAGGTGGAGTGGTCAGAAAACGTTGATCTTATTTGGGAACCGAAATGTCAGATGTCCAGAACCACCTACTTGAATCCAGTGATCAATCCCCACGACATGGAGAAGAACATGTCAGGGACATAATTCGGCTTCCGCACAATACCAAACCAGCCATCCACAAGGATGCGGTCCCCAGCCTGCGTCTCGATGGTCTTGGGGTTTTCGATGACGATCCACGGAACCTGTGGGAATGTGTTGCGCTTGATAAGCTGCCCTCTCTCTTGCTGGCGGAACGAGTTCTTCTGCCCGTTGGACGAATCCCACATCCAATACATGAAGAGGTATACAACGACAAGCGCGGCCAGGGAGTAGCGGTTCCAGTGGTATTCGGATGGGTCGTTGTTTGCGAGGTAAAGAGCACAGTGGCAGTAGGTGAAAGGCACGCCGGCCATGTTCCAGAATGTGAGCATGAAGCCGAGCTTCTCGAAGTACATGTCCCTGTGGCACGAGGAGTGTTGTTAGCGAACAAAATCGCGAAGACATAACGGGTGTGGGAACGTGAGGCTGGTTTTCACCCACCATGATGTGATGATCAGCTGCTCTCCTTTGGCGCAAGCATTGGTGTACAGGAAATGTGCCAGGAGAAGGAACCCAACCTCGCCCGAGACACAGCCGTAGTCCTCATACTGCCGAGCAGCCACCGAAGCAGTGATAAGGAACAGAATGAACCACGGAATTCTGACCTCATAGAACATCTTGAAGTCCAGGATCCCGATCCGAGGGTTCAGCTCAATACCCATGAAGAAGTCATATAGAGGATAGCCTGTAGGACGATGCGTCCGGCCCCTCACAATGGCCTGGACATAGACAATGAAGCTGTTCAGATAGCCTGAGATAATAGCCACCGTCATGATGGGCCCGAACTCGTCGATGAGTGTGTACAGGGGGAAGAGGCCGGTCAGGTGTAGGGCAGCAGCGATGGCGAGGGTCGCATACCAGCTGGTGTAGGCGGAGCAGTAATATGGGAGCTTCTTTCCGCCCTCGTGTCGCAGCGGCCGGCCTTGGCTCATCACTCCGGGCATGTAGCAATACCTTTCAAGAATTTGTCAGTGGCTGCCAAGGGTCGAGAAGGGAGAATGAACACATACATGACAGCCTCGGCCAGGAAGAACGTCCAGAAGACCGCCCAGGCTTTGGCCGTTGGGTAGGCTCCCTCATAGACAAGGTGGGCCAGGTGACGGCCGAACTCTCCCCAAGTCTGACCAGCAGCCGGGAGGGGAAGTTGGCCATTGTAGTAAGTCGCACCAATCCACATGTACCACATCAGCAGAGGGAAACTGATCATCAGCGCTGTGACGCCGAGGGAGCCACCAAATTCGAAGTCATCGGATTCGCCATCGGTATACTTTGGGACTTGTTTCTCGACTGCCGCATCTGCCGACTTCTCCTTTGGTGCGTTTCGACTTCTGCTCCTAGCAGCACCCATCTTGACAGCCTTGGTGAGGAACTCTGCAACTCTGGTGGGGGCTTCGAATACTTTGGTCGGATTGGACGAAAGAAAGGCGACTTCACTACTCTTATTGACGTCTGCTATAGAGAGTGAATATGTCGTGTCTTTGGGTCGATTGGTCTCTGCGAAACGGGACTGTCTGAAGAATAGGCATGTGGTGAGTATTTATTTCTCGGACTAAATTTGAGGAAGTCAGGCAATGGCTGCCCAGCTGGCGGCCCAGCAGGGAAACCCCCTTTCTCACGAGACCCGTCTTGAAATTCAAGCTTCATTTCCGGAAGCAAGATGGTCGCAGCAGGAACGTCAGCGACACGGCATATCGAATCCTGTCTGGAAGAAGGAAATCCACAGCGAGCTTAGTCCGTGTCACACCCGGCACTTGTCGATCGCCATGACTTCGAGCAGAGAAGTTTAAAGCGAGCCAATCGCTGTCAGCATAAACAGGGCCCGCTTTTCCTCTTCTGGCCCACAGCAGCTCCCCTTGTCGTCCCGTGGCTCGGCTCCTCTTTTCTTGCTCTTGAGAAGCTCCGCCTTTCCTCTTCTGGCCCCATTCCTTTTCTTGTTCAACTCCGCCGCGGCAGTTCAAAGCGATTCGCTGGAACAACCTCCCTCCTTCATCAAACCATATCCATGCCGACGCCTCCCGACAGCCTTGCAGGCAGGGAGTCGTCCTACACCATGCCACCACCAAAGAAACAACGCACAAAATGCTTCACTGGGTGTTGGACTTGTCGGTCCCGTCGCGTCAAGTGCGATGAGTAAGTGACCCTCTGCATCGTGAAGCTATCGCCACCCGCCACATTCGAGAACCCAGAGGCAGCTCACGACGTTCTGACTTAAACTCCCCATAGAGAGACGCCATCATGCTTGCGTTGCCGTCAAATGGGTCTCCAGTGTGAGGGTTACGGCATGAAGCTGGCCTGGGTGCCGTACAATCCTCACGCAGACAGCGACGATCAGGAACCTGTTGATGATTTGTCCCGGGATCACAGGGCATCCAGACGCCCATTGGCGCCTGTTAGTGATGCATCAGGGGTCGTTCGTATGAGCTCCCCGGAGCTTGATGTGTCGTTGACACAGATCGATGGGTGGTGCCCTAGGGAGTCTTCTGAACTCAAAAAGGGGTTCTTCTCGGTCTTCCCGGCCATCTCCTCCAGACGGCGCTTCTCGGAATCCGATGGGCCTCCTATTACGGCATATGACCGAGGTCGCCTCCAGTCGCCAGAATACGGCCCAGGGCCGGCAGATACTCCTGGCGAGCTTTCTGTTACCACGCTTGCGGACACACCAGGCCAGGCTACTTCTGCAACTGACGAAGCCAGGTTCCAGCCTCTCACGGCTCAGTCCACCCCTGAATCAGCTAGGGAGCCGAACCGCAGTGCTTTCTTAGACACTGCCTCCGCAGCCCGACTAGTATTACACCCTCACTCAGGCTACCAGAGTTGTGAGGAAGTGGACAAGGAGTCTGAGAATACTGCGCAGAATACCCTTCGTCAGCGACTTGTTCACGCTCCGCCGCGCCACTTGGATGCAATGCCCATGCCATCCAAGCAGAAGCGTCTCATCCATCATTGGATCACCTTCACTAGTAGGAAAATCGTCCTCCTCGATGAGCCGCACAACCCCTGCCGCACAATGATGCTTCCCATGGCGCTGAAAGGCCTTGTTTCCAAGGCGGGTGATTCCAACGCCGATGTTGCTATTTTCCATGCCATCTGCTCCGCGGCTGCGTATAATCTCTTCGAGCTCAGTGGAAGGACCACCGAACAAGATCACGTCCTGGCTTTAGATCACGACAGTGAAGCCATCCGCCACCTCCGGCATAACTTGGCCCGGGCAGATGAGCACCAAGACCAGTCTTGTGCGATGGCCATCATGGCATGTATTGCCGTTGAAGCTGTCTCCGGCACAACTCAAAGGTGGCGTACGCACGTCTCTGGCGGCCTGGCCTATCTGTCCAAATTGCAAGCCCGCGGTGTGGATGAGATGGCCGTATCCGCGTTCAGACAACACATGGTGAAGATGGCCCTCCTCTGTGACTTCCCCGTGCCTGACGATCTCAAGTCTTTCTTGAATGATGAAGACGTCTCTGGAAGTGGTCTCGAGTTCACGTTTCCTTACTATGGGGTCTCGAAGTCCACATTGCAAGCCCACGACCGTATCAACACTCTGGCCACCGCATCTCTGAACAGGACGTCTACCACGGATAAAGAAGTCGACTCTCTTGAGCTCCAGTTGTATCTCCAGTTTCCAGGTCTCCCGCCACAGATATCCAGCCCAGAAGCGTCCAAGCTCCACGCCGCTGTCGTCCACCACACGTCCACTTCCTTTTATTATGCTGGGTTGGTCTTCTTCCAGAGGAGTATTCGCCGTTCACCGGTTGCTGCAGTGCAGGAGCTGGTAGAGCTAGGAGTGCAAGAGTTGGAAAACATCGAGGTCGTCGGTAAGGGCAATCTCGGCTGCATGATGTTGTGGCCGGCCCTTGTGCTCGGAGCTGAGTGCAACACGGCCACCTCACAGCGTCGGATGCGAGCCTGGTTTCAAAGTCAGCGGAAACTTGGCTTCAGGAATCTTGTCGTCTTGGAGGACCTCATCACCTCACTGTGGGGTGCTCGAGCTGACCCGGATGCCCAGGGGAAAGAGATTGACTGGCGGGATATGATTGCACAGCCGCGGTATGATGTCTTTCGGCTTTGATTTAGGGGCCAAGAAAGACCAATCTGGGTGCTGGCCTTGTCACAGATTAAGTATGCAGAGCTTGTGGCTCTCATTCTTGGAACATTGGTGCTGAAGAATCGCAAACAGCGCAAGCCATCCGATCTATCGTCTAGTCTGTCATCTGGTCTGTCTACCATCTAGTTTATCTACCATCTAGTCAATCTGCTATCTGGTCTGTCTGCCATCTGGTCTATTACCATCTGGTCTATCTCTGGATGAGAACGATACTACTGGAAACAATACCATTTCAACCGACCAATGGTAGCCATTAATTTATCACAGCAGACAGGACCTCACCTCGTCTGGCAGGGACACGCCCTGATATACATTTTCCAAGCCAGCAACTGTCTTTGACTGCTTCTTCCTTCAGCCCTCCACTGAACAGAGCTAGCTGAACGTCCTTATGAGCCTGACTTTGACTGAGACTCGATTCTCCTGACTTGACCATACTCGGCTTCCTTTGAGAACTCGTCCCTTTCCGTATCACCCACTGCCACCTATCACATCAATATGGACGCTCAACTTGAGATTCGTGAGCAATTGCAGGGACTCATCACCCTCCTTAAGAGGTCCATGCCCGAGGCACGATACTAAGAGGCATTTCCCATCTTCTCTGACGCTCAGCGAGCTTATGATGCCTACCACGGGAGATTCAAGCCGAATCGCGATTCAGTCGAGTACAACGAAGCCGAATATTTTTTTCTCCAACATCCTCAGTCTGGTGTCTTCATCGATCAGTCATCAAGTCTCAGCACGACGCACCATCGCGGCCAACGGTTGCGCAGGACCACACCTGCTTACGAGCGACGATGCAGCTGACGATGTCAGCCTCGCCCTCCGCCTCGCCCCCCGCCACAAGTCTTCGGCTTTTTCAGGCATCACCGACATGCAGCGCGTTGCTGGCCTAGGCGTCCCCACAAGGTCGTCAAGAGAACGAGTGCCCTCCACCCAGAGACGTGCGCCAAGCTCGGTTACGGTGCAGGTGTGGACACTGCTGAGACGCGCATGCGCCCGACCTAGGTCGTGCCGGACGATACTCGTGACGGTCTGCGGGCCGCGGGTCTCTCAGGAGACAAATTCGAGCTGGCCAGGCGTTGATGAGCGGAGGTACGAGACCTGTGGCGCACGCGTCACACTGAGCAGGCCTAATCCTATGCCGCGGTTAAATACGGCTCTAATAAGAGAAAAGAATGAGCAGCAAGGTTACCACAGACTTGTCTGGGTCCCTTGAGCTGCAGACCAGATCCACGAGGAAGGGAGATGCTACGAGCACGTATTTCGGGTGCCAAGGAGGTCAACCTTTTTACCATTCTTGTTTTGACCAGGTTTGCCAAGGATGAAGACGGCAAGCCCGAGCAGCGATAATGAGACTGGCAAGGCCACACGGACAAGTTTGCGGATACATAGAGCAGCAACAGCCATCGCAGATAGACATCTCTGAAGAATACTTTCACATAGAAACAACCCGCGTTTGTCCCTGGAACCAAACGCACCTTGAGTGAATGCTTCAAATCGGGTCAGCCGGTGGCTGTTGATATAGTTGCTAATGGAATTAAAAACCATACAAGGCCATCTTATTTCGATTACGAGCGGTCGCACAGGTCGTAGGCGAGAAGGGAGCCTATGAATAAACTTACCCATCTAACTATAATGTGGCCTAGGAAGCCTACGCAGAGGTCATCTATCTCCTTGGACCATGACTAGAATCCTCAAATCACGGGTGAAATCACATGCCAACTTATCAGCTTGCGAGATCATGACAGGCCTGTGCCGGGCCGTCCAGGTCCCGAAGCAGTCGAGCCAGCCATTCACTTCTTTGTCCAGAACAGGGTGTTCTGCACGGTACTCAACTTAACTTCATATCTAGGTCCCTAATTGCCGTTGACGTAGAGAGAAAATGGGGAAGTATACTTCCGTTCGCCCTAATTCTCGGTCGCTTGCCCTTCGTTAAGTCACTGCTGCGGACGGCAAGTGAATTCGAAGAACCACTTCACTTCATGGGCTTCGTTGTTGACCCCACCAGGAGAAAGGATATAAACCTGCCTTCCTGACCAATTCTAATTGTCCGTCTTGTTCTTCCTTCAGTATTCCCTTCCTCAATCTCAAGTCTGACTTGACACGGCGTCTCCTTCATCTGCTGTCACCGCAAAGACAGCCACACTTATCGTCAGCAACTTGACCTCACCAACCTCACTCATCATCTATTCTCTATCCTTGCGAGGACATAACCAGTACAGAACAAAATGGTATCTCGTACCGGACCTTCCGCGAAGCTTTCAGGTACCAACATGCAGGCACGAAATGTTGCTACACCCGAGACCGCTCCTCGCAGCAGTATGTACACTTTCATCAAACCAACCTGCTTCGAGACATGTCGCTAACAGGTCTTCTTCCTCGCAGCCACTATACCTTCCCAGTCTGAGGTTGGTCAGGGTACGAGACAGCAGGGCACTTCCCACACTCAAGACGAGAACATGCTCTACAAAGCCTCTCGCGCGGGCGGACCCAGCGAGCAGGCGTCCATTGCGCCTTCAATCCCAAGTTGGCTCTACAAGCTGCCGTCCGAAGTCTCCGGCTACTCGAGTACGGACCCTTCTGCTCTCGGTGGCCCTCACACTCCGAGCGGCTCTCAGCCGAACATGGCTCCACGGCCGAGTCCGCTACGTCCAGCACGACCATCACGAGCTTCTGACGCGCGAGGGGCGCCCCAGCCGGCTATGGCGGCTCAGTCTGCGGGAGCATCGAATGCGCAATTTGATGCTTTGAATGACCTGGAGAGCGTCGGACCGGGATCGAGCGTCTCGCAGCGGTCCAGCAATCGGCAAACGCCAGCTATTCATCAGACGTCCTCAGTCCGTCAGCCGTCTTCTGCTCGCCAGACAGCCACAGTTCGTCAGAAGTCCACGGTTCAGCAGACTCCAACGATCTACCAAAACCCTCCAATGCAACAGATGCCCACAATGCAACAGTGGCCTACCATGCCACAGTTTGCCAGGGCTGATGGTCAGGCACCGGTTGTGAACAATTTTCATCACAACTACAGCCCGACTGACAGCCGCCAGAACTTTACAGCCAACAGCCAGCAATACCACACCGACAACGGCTATCACCAGACCACCTATTCCCCTCACGTAGTCCACACCCATAACAACCAGCGACACATTTTCGACAACAGCCGGCGTGATACCATCACCCAGTCGATGGAAACGTTGCATCTAAACTCCAGCTCCACCTCAGCGCCCCAGCCGCAGCGCAAGTGGGATGTCTGCGGCCGCACTCCGAGTGAGACACTTGCCCTCCGCGGGGCGCGCATCAAGTGCAAGAGGGGTCTGTTCTTCGACAAGGGAATCACCACCCACCAGCACGTGCCTGACAGCCGCCCTTGCTAGGTTCAGGGGTGCCAGAACACGCACTGCGCCCGGGAGGTGGACGGGGAGAGGATCTACTCGGACTTCTGCTCGGCTCACTCGTGCCGGTACTACTGGCCTGAGTTCTGCCGCTGTCCGAAGTATCCTGAGGACAGGCACTGTTCTTGTCATTCGGAACAGTGAGACTAGCATCCTTTAAGCTCTCGGGGCGAAGACTAGGTGGAAGGCTGGGATGGAGAGCGAGGCGAGGCGAGGCGAGCCGTGGCTGGATAGCTCGACTGAGATCAGCCTTGGGTGGGAGATCTGATGCTTTCGCTCCCACATAATTAGATTAGGATGGCAAGAGACGTTAAGCCATGCATAATTGTCGCGTTTGAGCAGGAGTTTGGATGGCATGGTGATTGAACAGCGGACACATAGGATGATGAATACACTGCATTGTAGGAGTGTTGGGATATGGCTGATTCCCGTGAGAACAACCAAATTGAGCAACTAGACCTCCATACTATTGGACAGATTCGCAGCGAATAATGACCCTGTGAATATATCGGGGTTGTTGCGGTTGATTCGATTAGCCGTCTCCGGGTACGAATGTACACAAGGGTCTTTAGATGATGCGCAGTTAGCCCTGTTTACAACCCGGGTGAATGCGATGTTACTAGTAGACAATATAACTTGCAAGCGTAAATCATCACAGTGGCCGTGACAGTATTTCAAGTATGAAGCATCGTGAAACCACAGCTGCGTGTCGTACTTGGGTGACTAACTCAATGCTTGTGCTATTCTTTCAGGCAACCCGTGCTGTTCTGTCTGCTTGGGTGAGCATCGTTAGGAGACATCTGGAAAATGATTTAGTTCAAGTTGTCCGGAACTGGGCCTCCAATGAGCTCTTCCATCTTCTCCATAGTTGCATACCTCCGTACCGGATCAAAACCAGGTGGAAAGCCCCTATCGGGGCCCTAGGAGCTATTTATTTAGGCAAGCTGCGAAGGGGAAGTCATGTAACATTACTTAATAATAACGCCTTTCTATATTTAAAAAGGAATATAAATACATTATATAATCTAGCTAGCAATTTTAATAATTAAAATATACTATATAAGCATAAAAAGCCCCTTTACTAAAGTGCTAATTCCTTCCATGCCTAAAATAACATACCCTAAGGTACCCTAAAATTCTCTAAAGATAAACCTACTTTTTTTAAGTATTAACATTCTTAAAGGAAGTTTAGAATTATTTTTCTTAATATAAAGCACTCCTTTTTATAATAAAAGGCTTTAATCTTTAAACTTTATGCCATAAAGACTACAGGTATATCTCCCGCTTAAATTAAATTTCTAAGCTTTTTTTTAAGTTTTTCTTTAGCCTAAGATACTTTTAAGAAATAATAAAATAAGCTTAGCAATCTTTATAAAAAGGGTTTTATTATAATAAAGCCTAAATTAAGCATAAAAAGGGGCCTAACAATCCTTAAAAAAAAAGCTTTTTAATAATAAAGCTAAAATTAAATATAAAGATAAATATAGCAATCTTCTTAAGCAAGGCTTTCTTATAATAAAGTTTAATTTAAATATAAAAATAAGCATAATAATCCTTATAAAAAAGATTTTCTCATAATAAACCTTAAATTAAGCATAAAAATAAGCCTAATAATCCTTATAAAAAAGGCTTCTTTATAATAAACTTTATAATAAACCTTAAATTAAATATAAAAATAAGCTTAATAATCCTTATAAATAATACTTTCCATTAATATAGCTAGAAATAAGCATAAAGATATTCATAATAATACTATTAAGCAAAATTTTTTTATAAAAAAGCTAAATATAAAGCTTTTAAATATAATAAGCTAAATACTTATTTAATAAATAAATATTAAGGTATATAATATATATTAATTAATGCTTATAACTAAAGGCCTAAAAACTTTATTTAATGCATATATTAATACCTATTAAGCTAGCTAAATTTTATATAAATAAAAGTATTAAAGGTATAAATATAGCTTTAAAGCATATAATAAGCTTTACTATTTTCTTTTCTTAAAAGCTTAATATCCTTATAATTTATTAAAATTATTCTTAAAATAAATTAATACCATAATTATTTTAATTATAATTAAAGTTAATAAATAAATTCTATAGCTATTATAATAATAATAAATATAATTAATAAATTTAATAAAATAATAGCTAAATTTTAAAAGCCCCTATGCCTTATAAAATACATATTTAAATATATAATATACCTTACAAAATATAAAAACTCCTAAAAACTAACTACCCTTAATAATTATATTAATTCTAAAGATAATAATGCAACTTTAATTAAAATTACCCTAAACTTTTTATTATTTTAACTTAAATTAAATTAATTAACTACATATTACACTTTAAATCACGCAATATATATAATATATACTATAGCTAAACTTATTTTAAAAATTTTATTATTTTAGCTAAAGTTAAATTAATTAATTATACTCTAAGCCATGCTAATTAGCTATTACATTAAATTAACCTTTCTTTACATAGCCATCCTTAGTATTGCTACCAACCAATACCCTAAATATACCTTTTATATAACTTATGCTAATTTTAAGCAATACTTTACAATATACATCTCACCCTATATCTATTAAGCATTAAATTAACTATAAATAAGGTTTGCAAAATCATAATACTTATAAATATACATATAGCTTTTATTTCCATTAATATTAAATATAAATAATAAATAATCATAACCCTTAAACTTTATAATTATTTAATCATTATAACTTTTATAATTCTTAAATCATAAATATATCTTTAAATTTTATATTAAATTATATATATACCCCTTAACAATACCTTAAAATATACAGCAAAACACATTAATACTAATAATCTATATAAACCTTACTATACCATACTATTTTAACATCCCTTACCATTATATAATTACATCCCTTTATAATACCTTATGCTACTTAAGAATAAAAAATAACATTTATAATAAAAAAAGAAAACATATTAACTATATTAAAGATTAAACCCTTAATATTACATTATTTAGCAATTAATTACTTAAATCTTAACTATAAAATGCTTAATAATACTATATTAATAATTAATATATTAAATTATACTTATTTAAATTAAAAATATTTATTTTAACTAAAAGTTTAAAATAACTTAAAACTTATTATAAATTCCAATAATTATAATTATAATAGCAAACTCCCCATTAAAATTAAATAAGAAATTTATAATATTAATTATACTTCTTTTTAATAAAATAGTTACTACCTATAAATAATTAAATATAATAGCCTTTTATATTTTTAAGTATAAAATTAATTATAATATCTTATAAAAAATAAGTTAAGATAGCAAAACCTCTTAAAGGGTTAAGGTAATAGCAATAATAATAAAAAATAATAAATTTATTAAAATAATTTATAAATAAAGTTACCTATGCTTTATAATCCCCATTATTATCCATATTATCATCTTTATTATTATCCTTATTTTTATCATTATTCTTATCCTCCTCCTTTTTTTCCTCTTCTTTAAGTCCTTAAATATTTTATTACTAACCTTTATATTATTAAAGCGGCAAGCCTTAAAAGCCAATACCGCCATTACCTAAATAGCAATTATCCATTATAATTTAATAACTATCATAATCTAGCTCTTATCTTTATTTTAAATCTTATCTTTGCTATTACCTTTATCCTTGCTTTAATTTTCTTATTTATATTTTTTTTATTTTTATAGCTATTCTTATTTATATATAACTTATAAAAAGGGTAGCTATAATTATATTTATTATAATAATTTTATCTTAATATTAAAAATACTTTAAGCAAAAACGCTATAAAGTTAACCTACCTTTATAAATCTTAAATATACTAAATATTATTAGCATTATTACCTAAGATAATACTTATATTCTTTCTAAACTCCCCTAAAGAATTTAATTACTTAATTATATTTAAATAATAACATTATTTAATAATAGCTTAGCTTACTTAAGCAGCATAATGCTAAAAGAAATAATAATAAGTATTATATATCTTAATTAAGTTATAATAAGCCATAAGCAGTAAAATATAAAGATAGTATTGGCGGGTGTAGGGAATTACGTGAGAAATGGTACCGCGCTGAATTCCAACTAGCTATAAAAAGCTAGCTTTTACGCTTATTTTAAATATTTTTTTAAGAAATCAACTCTTTTCTTTTCTTATATATTTAATGCTTTAATTAAGCTTTTCTTATTTTTAAGAATTTTTAAAATATTTATCTTTTTCCTTTTTTTAATTTCTTTTTATTCCTATCTTTTCTTTCTATTATATTAAAGCTCCTTCTTAAGTTATTCTTAAGAGGATTTAACAAAACTTATCCCTTATTATTTAAGTAGCTCGTTTTTATTAATAATTTAGCCTAAGCTAATTTTAATCTTATATATTTTTAATTAATAATAAGAAAAATAAATAATTAGCTATAAATTAATTATTTATTAATTCTTTTTTTTTTCTTATTTTTATATTAAATATTATTAAATTATTTTATATTTTAACCTAAAGCTTTAATTAAAGCTTGCATTTATCTTTAACTTATTATAAAGAAAAGTTAAGTATAATTAAACTTATAATAATATTATAAGCGCCTTAAAACTATTTTTTAATTTTAAGGTACTTCTTATGCTTTTAATATTTAAATAAAATACTATTTTAATCTTATATTAATATGCTATTAAGCTTTAAACTTATTTTAAGTCTTTTATTAAAGATTATACTTAAAATATAATGATAATATAAACTTAAAATTAAAATAATAAATTTAAACTTTATAAATATTATTTAATATTAATTAAAAATACTTTAAACTTTTAATTAATATTTATTATTATTATTATAATCTTAAGTTTAAAATAAAAGAGGCTATAATATAAAATTAAAATACTTACCTTATTTACTTATAAATTTAATAAATAGCATTATATTATGCATTTTTATATTAATTAAATTATATAAA